GAATGGATTGTTTGTTTTGGGCAAAGAAGAAGAAGAATTGGTTGAAGAAATTATCCTAAAACAAACTTCAATAAAAAAAATTTTCCCATAGCAAAATTTTGCTGACAAAAGAAGAATATTCTCCAACAAAAGAAAAGAATCAATAAATATATAAAACAATTACATTGACAATAATTATGATAATCAAATTATTTTTCTTTTCACAAAGGAAAATTTTTTCTTCTTCTTTGCGAAATTGTAAGAAAAATTTATGATCGAAAAAGGAAAGGCAAAAAAAATTTACATAATAAATTGAAAAACGAAGGAAATGTTTGAATTTTTTTTCTTATTGTCACCACCATTACCCCCTTCAATCCAATTGCCAGGGAAAACACATTCCTGGAAAATAGGAAAATGCAATGCAGTGAAGCCAACATTGTGAAAAATTCAAAGAAGAGATCATATTTCGTATATGATTAAGGAAAAAAAGTTACAAAAGTGTGATTGAAAACAAATCGATTACCCAAAAATCAATGAAAAACAAGAAAAAAACTTTGATAATGATCATCACCATCGTTCGAATGATAATCAAATAAGGATGATACAACTTAAAATGGATCAAATTTCAATGATCAATAATTTTTTTTCTTTGATTATCATATTTGAATAAATTATTATCATCATCAGGAAAAAATGACAGTTGATCAAATCGAAATGAAATGTTTCAACTTTGTTTGATTTGATTTTTCAACACAAAAAACCTTTAACATTTCAGTCATTTTTTTTCTTCAATACAGTTTTTCGCATAGAGAATATTCTTGTCGTTGTTGTTGTATCCATCATAACACGACAATCATACCAGAAGCAAAATGAATAAAACACACAAACACAAACGACATTTTTGTCTTCTGTGTTTAGCATCATCGATTACATTTACATTCATTCAAATACATGTCATTCATGTCGATGTCAAACTTGGAACATGTAACAACGACAACGATAAAAAACAAGATTTTGAACATTTCGGATCGTCGACGAAGAAGAAAAACTGATCAAATTTTCTAATAAAAAATATCCTGTTTCTGTTTTTTTTCGGTGGTTCTGGTGATGATGATGAGTGTTTCTATTCTGTTTTTGGATGTTTAAAACATTGAAAACAAACAAACCAAATTCATTGTCCATTTAAAAAACAAAAAATGAAAAAATTTGTTTTTCAAAAAAAATGGAACCCATGTGTTTCTTGCTATCAGGCTATTTAAACATCAATCGATTGATGTTTGTGTGTATTTAGACTCAAATTTCAGTTTTTTTTCTCTCTTTCTCTGAAAATATACCGGACAATGTAAGAATTGTAAAGAAAATTTTTAAGAGAAAAAAAACTAAAGAAAAAGAATCCATGATTGAAACGTGACAGGAATAATGATTGATGGATGTGAATCGAATGGAAGGGAAAATAATAATGTCAACAAAACAAAACACACAGAGAGAAAGTAATCAATATTCAAAATTTCAGAAATGAAAACTTTTAATTTTGTTTGTTTTGTTTGTTTCGAAAGTATTAAGTTTTTCTGTTTTGTTTTTGAATTTTCTTTTTTTTGGGAATTTTTAAACAAATTCAAACCGAAAGTAAATTTATGAATTTTTTTTCGAATCAATCAATCAATCAAAAAGAAAGAATGAATGGCTTGTTTCAAATGATTTTCATCTTTGGACAAAAATGTTTTGTCGATTGGATTGTTTGAAAAAATGTGACCATCATCATGATAATTCATTTGTTTAATGAACGAAGAACCAAAAAGTGAAACAAACAAAAAATCAATTTTTCTAATTGATTTCTCATTCACATTTTTGTTTTTTTGTTTTTTTTTTGCTTTTTTGCATTGTCGTCGCCAAAGTTTATCATTCGGAAAACAATGAAAAACAAAACAAAATAAATCAACTGACTTTTCACTCTCCATTTTTTGTTCACTGATTTTGATCTATTCATTCATTTATTTTCTGTTGTTAAAAAAGAAGTGATGATGTTGGTGTGTGTGTTGTGTGAAAATAGCGACAACAACAGAAATAACAACAAAAACATTCATTCTGGGGAACGTTTTTGATGAGATAAATATATTTATAATGGAAAACGAAAAAAAAAAGTTTTCTCGGGTCGGTTTGAACAATGTTTGTTGTTGTGATAAATTAGACAATATACAGATCTTTTTTATTCATTGTGTTTTTTTTTATTTTTGGGTGGAAATAGACAGCCAAACAAAAAAAAAATCCAAATCTGATGCTTTGTGTTGACTATAAAAGAATATTCTTTAAATGCCGGTTTGTTGTTGTTGATATCTTCATTCAACTCGTTCAAAGAGAAAATACAAAAAGATTTTAATCGTTAAGTTTCAATTTTCCAAAAAAAAACTATTTCTGTGTGAAATAAATTCAGTTCCCTATGAATGATGTTTAAAAAAACTTGTCTTGTTAAGTTTTGTGATGAAAAAAGAGAAAAGCTAAAATAGTGTTATTTTCGTTTTGAATCAATCTTTTTCAATTTAAATCACATTTGAAAAAAAAGGCCAAGTTTTGACATATACACCAAAAACGTTCAAAGATTGAATTATAATGATGTTGAAACAGCAACAACAACAACAATGAAGAACCGAGAAGAAATTCCAATGATTAATTGTATGCTACTGGAAATGTCTTGTTGTTGTTTGAAAGTGATGAAAGAAAACCTTTCTTTACTTTTTATTATTATTCATATACGAAATGAATCAATGATGACAGGAAAAGAAAAGAAAAAACCAAAAGAATGTGTCAAACAATTGAAATCAAAATCAACCTTTTTCAGCAATTCAAATATCAATTTTTGAGATTGACAATTTTTCTTTTTCTTCTTCTTCAATATATTCTAATTAAAATGATTGCATTCTTTTCTATTTGAAACAAACGATTGATTAATCAAATAAGCATCATCGTTTTCATTTTTTTTTGCTCAATATGGATTATATATGTTGAATGCTTCTTCCCCCCTATGTAACCAAATTGTTTTTGTGGTGGCTGTGATTGTGAAAAAAGACTAAGAAAAGCAAAAGAGAGGGAATTTTCGCTTGTCATCACAAATGGCCAAAATAGAAAGAATCTTTACGATTCTCTTGTGTGTGTGGTTGACAGATAAACAAGAAGAAGAAGAAAAAAATCATCTCATTGTGTCCACACACACTGGAAAAATGTAATAATTTTTGACAAATAAAACAAGATTTACTAATCATAATCAATGAGATCATCATCATCATCATCAAAGCCAATTATCTTGATTAAATTTCCATTGAAATGAATTGCTGAAAATTAATTTTGTCCATCATCACTATTTCCACCAAAAGTGAAGAGAAGAAAGGAAAAATCTCATCAATTGACAGAGAAAAAAA